ACTTAATTAAGCCAGTGGCATGCTAGAGCCAAACTGTACCAGCTTGTGAGAGATAACTGCTCAATATTCAGGAATTTTACAAGCAAACTTTCAACTTTTGGGAGCTAGTCATGAGTCTTGGAGGAAATGCTTATCCCCAGGAAATCGGCATTGTTAACACTCCCTACTGGCCTGTGAGGAGCTGTCTTATCTGCACACCACTGGGTATTACACTGCCCAGGGGACTTGCAGTCTTAGAGGGTACTCTTGAAAACCTTAAAGATTCAAAATGAACTTCCATTTCTGAGATTTCTCTAACAGGGAATATTTTCTAACAGGGGTAAGTGATAAAAATAATAGAGACATTGCCAAGGGTTACCACATAGGCACACCCCTAGATCATCTTGGTCCAAGTTGGCTCTACAGATACATATCACTAGGAGATATGGCAGGAAAAGGTCAGAAAGATTCCCAAAGATATATGTACACGTAACCATTATATAAAACAATTCTATAACACTGACCTGCTGAGACAGACTGTTTTCCCATTACTGACCAAAACAAAGAATGAAGCATGCTTTCCAAGAGAGGACCAGGCTTCTTGTACCACCACAAAGGATGTGGAGGTCACTCAGTCTGTGCACTGAAAAACTAAATTTACTGAATGCCAATTAAATAATCTAATGATTTCTAAAATGAAAATAGGTCTTAATATTGTACTGAGATCTTCAAAAGTCAAAACTTCTGGACTAGTGCATAAAGAAAGGCCAACCTTTGTTACCTAAGTTGCATTGAACTGCACTTATTCATAGCCCCGGAATATTTTCCTTAAAAGAGGGAATGAATCAATGGTGCTTAATATAAATTAGTCATCTTTTCCATGTATTTCTTTTCATGCTTCTCTAAGAATTGATTGTATGCTAATTCTGTAGCAGGCACTGTCATGGCTATACATAAGAACATTTAAGTTGTTGTCCCACATTGTGTTTCAGAAGATTCTGTACATTTCAAAAATAGATGGTGAAGGAAGTTCTACTGAAAGCCCTCATAGAGATCCTACCAGTAATATACAGAGAAATCACTTTCTGATTTGCTCACTATAATTAGAAAATGACATTTGAAAGTTATTTTATTGGTCCCACAATAAAAGTCATCAAAAGCCTTTGAAAGTATATGATTTTATTTCTAAGGAAAAATGTGATGTAGTTTTATTAGCATTCTTGAGAGGATCATAAATGTAACAAATTAAAAATATACTTTATAGAGAACACCATGAAATATAGCAAGAAACATTTTGGTTTATAATTAACCCATGTTTCTGAAAATATAGAGTCTCATTTTAATAAATATGGATTTTAAATAATGGGTTCTAGGAACTACAGTTGTAGTAACACTTGGATTTATTTTTATAGTTGTTTACTACTGGAAAAACACATGTTCCTCTCAAAGCACATCAAATTAATGAACAAATTTTATATGCAGAGCTCAATAAATATCCTCTTGCAAGCTGTACTCATTTAAAAAATATAACAATGAATTCATTAAAAAACAAAAATTCAAGGGGTTGGGGTTGTGACTCAGCAGTAGAGTGCTCGCCTAGCACGGGCCAGGCCCTGGGTTCAATCTTCAGCACCACATAAGAATAAATAAATTAATTAAATATGTTGTGTTTAACTAAAACTAAAAAATAAATATTAAAAACTTCAAATCAACAATGGGTTCAAAGATAATACCTCTGGAAGGCCGAAATATAGCAAAGACAGAAAGGGCAAAGGTAAAGCATGCAACTGTACTCTTTGTCTAAATATGGGCAGTTTGTTTGCTACTCTACAGAGCAATCAGGGAAAGTTGAGGGTTAATTCCTGACAAATAGCTTAGTAGGTTGTTTGCCCAGCCTTCTCTGTTGATCCAAAGGAGCATCTCCTATTCCAGAGGAATCATACAACACAGAAGTGAGTAGACCTCCCATGCAGGGGGCCTAGTGCTGACACAGGCTGCAGGAATGCAAAGCAGGTCTTTCCTTTCTGATGATGTAAGTCCATTTGGCCACTAGATGGAGATCAGGTTACTCTGCCAGTGACTGAAGTGGCTTGCAGCCAGCAAATGGAAGTAGGATACCAAGAACCTATTCTCTTTTTTCACAATTTCTATGAAAGGCATTTTTCAAGCTCCCAAATCAGGAGCACACCTATATAGAATAAAAAATTTATAAATGAGGCTCCTTAAAAGATCAAACAGGAAGGGAACTGTAAAAGGTAAATATTATTAGTATTATCTGGATTGATTTTTATTTATGTTGTATAATCTATAATATGAACTGGCTTAAGTAAGATCAATTAAGTATCCTTTCTCCTCATTACCAAGAGATTTGAAAAAAAGTTAATACAATGGCAGATTATTTGGACAAGACAATTCTTCCTGTTCACTTAAACAATAAAGATATATGCTCATAATTTGTTTCTCAGTTTGAGTATACACACACAGACACGCACACACACACATATCTGTATTATATATGTGTATATATTTCTTATATCAGCAAAAATGGATTAAGCAATCTTAGAAGTAGGAGGAGAATATTAGCAAACATCTATTCTAGTTTTCCAAGTGAAACTATCATTTCATTCTGAATTATATAACTTTATTACTAAATTTGTCTTATTTCTGTTATATTTGAATCTTGAGCTAGAGAGATAAAGTTATAATATTTCCAAGTAATGTTTGATTTAGGGAAAATTCAGGTATTTGCACTGCATAATGTGGACAAATATTTGAGTATTCTTTTTTTTAAGTTTTTTTTTTGTAGTTGTAGATGCACATAATACATTTATTTATTTATTTATTTATTTATTTATTTTTTATGTGGTGCTGAGAACCAAACCCAGTGCCTCACACATGCTAGGTGAGTGCTTTACCACTGAGCTACAACCCCAGCCCCACATATGAGTATTCTTGAGAGATTAGATATTATAATTGTTTCTAACGTAATAACTATATATTTACATATATTCATATTCATTCAATAAATACTGCTGTGGGTACATTAAAGCATAAAGTGAATAATTTGTGACAGTTCAAAAACATTCCGTTTGTTATCAAATAGCTTCAATTACCAGTGAAATTTAGTACATAGAAGTGTGAGCATAAACAAAGATATTTATTGTTGTGTACCAATCACCAAGCCAGACTCTGGGAAAATTAAAATTCACAATATAGTCAGAGTTATATAACTGAATTATATAACTTTATTACTAAATTTGTCTTATTTCTGTTTTATCTGAATCTTGATCTAGAAATATAAAGTTATAATATTTCCAAGTAATGTTTGATTTAGGGAAGAGAAGAGTTACATGGTTAAAATAATGAATAATGTGGTGAACATACTTGTTCCCAGGAAGAGAAGAGTTACATGGTTAAAACATAAATATGGATAAATTTTTGTAAAATCATGAGTAGAAGTCTTTTTTTAAAAAGTTCTTTTGAGAAAAAATAAAATCATTAATTTAGGTCACAAAGATTTGACCACAGGAAAAATATCACCTTTGATTTTTAAAACATATGCATTTATTATTTTTATAACACTAGTATTTATTATTGGGTGCCAATGACAGAGAAGAAACCAATGCTTGGAATAATAAAAAAAATAGAACCATAAGTAATTAGTTTTCTAAATATTATTATGGATAGTAATCAACATTCATCTGCTGCTGTAATAGATCCATTTTGCATTTAATGACATGTTTCTTTTAAGTAATACATTTGTTTTAACTTGATTAAATTAATCAATTTATGTCCCTTCAAAAGGATTGAGGTTGCTAGCCTAAGTTTGGTTTGAGATTTTCAAAATATTCCTATAAAACTTTTAAGAATCTTGGGCTGAAGTTGTGGGTCAGCGGTAGAGCACTCGCCTTGCACATTCGAGACCCTGGGTTCGATCCTTAGCACCACATAAAAATAAATAAGTGAAATAAAGGTATTGTATCCAACTACAACTAAAAATAAAGAAATATTTTTTAAAAAGAATCTAAGAAAATATGTATTATTCATTTACAAATATATTTATTTATCTTTTAAGGAAAAATCACAATGTAATCACATAAAATAGTAATTACTAACCATTTATTCATGGAATACTTGGTTGAAATGTCTTATCTTGTTAGGTAGAAACCTAGCTTCCTTTTTTTTTTGTACTGGGGATTGAATTCAGAAGTTCTTTATCATTGAGCAACATCGTCCTCTTAATTTTCATTTTTAATTTTTAGACAGGTCTCACTGAGGCTGGCCTCCAACTTGTAATTCTCCTACTTCAGCTTTCTGACTAGCTAGGATCACAGCTATTCACCAACGTGCCCCTTCTACCTTCCTTTTTGTTAGATAAGAATGAAATATAAACAAAGAAGTTTTGTTCTGAAGATTAAATAAATTTCAAAAAAAATTTATTATATGCTTTAGTGTGTTTGAGTATACTGCCTTCCTCATTGTTATAATTCATTCCAGACAACAACTAGACCAGGTGCTGACTGAGTCATTTCTAGAGTCACTGGGTTTCCTTTTGCTCTGGTGGCCTGTTCCCATATTTCTTTTCCATAGTAGTGTGATTTCTACTGGTCACTGCTAAATTTGCATTATTTGGAAATAAGGAAGTTGTTAAAAACTATTGGGTGAATATTTTGCTAACCTTCTAGAAATTTAGGCTTATAAGAATATGCTGTCAGATCCTCAATGTTATGAGTTCAAATTAATTTTAGTTATTTTAGCAAGTATATTTGAGTTGTTTAGCCAAAAATTTTCCTGATTGTGGCATCTAGAATGAAATTTATACCTGAATGCTCACCTTTAAGAGGTAAGTTAGGGGCTACGGTTGTGGCTCAGTGGTAGAGAGTTTGCCTAGCAAGTGTGAGGCACTGGGTTTGATCCTCAGTACCACATCAAAATAAATAAATAAAATAAAGGTATTGTGTCCTTCTACAATGAAGAAAAAACAAACAAACAAAAAGGAGGTAAGTTAATTTAAGTAGTACCTGCATATGTCTGTCACCTTCTTGCCCAATCATGTTTCTCCATTCCATGAGTGATCGCTGCAGACGTTCAAGTCCAGTTTCCCAAAGCCTGATGTGACCTCCCATATCAACAGTAACAACGCCACTTTTGTCCCACTCTGTCAGCAGTGCATCTGTGTCCGAAATAGTAGATAGCCATGTAGTATATGGTGAGAGAGATTCTGAACTGAAAAAGGAAAAACAAAAACCAAAGATGAGAAACATTAAAAATAAAGGAGTTGAGTGATATTTTATATGTGTATTATTCTTTCCTGTTTAAAAAGTATGTTCACCACATTATTCATTATTTTATACCTGACTCTTCCCTACTTCACAGCATAAGAAGGTAACAAAGGTATGTGTTATGACCAAAGTGAGACATTGGACATACTGAGTTTTTAATCCTGAGGCAGAACAAAAATTAATTTAACAAGGATTTTGAAGGAAAAGTGTTAATAATTAATTATAATATATTGCTTATTGACAGTCTAAGTAATGAAGCTAGTTAAAAGTGATTTCAGTTCACTAAACTTGTGATAAAGATTTTTTATGGACTAATTGTGTCCTCCAAATCTATATGTTGAAGACCTAACCCTCAATGTGATGGCATTGGGATGTCTTTGGGTAGTAATTAAATTTAGAGAAGATCTTGAGGGTAGAACCGCCAAGATAGGATTGTCCCTTTAAGAAGAGACCAGAGGGCTTGTGCTTTCTCTCCACAACTCTGCCACTCTGCCCGACTCATGCATCATGCTGAGATACAATTAAGAAGGCAGTCACTTGTAAGAGCATTCTTATCAGGAGCCAAACTAGATGGCACCTTGTCTTGGACTTTCCCAGCTTCCAGACTGTGAGAAATAAATGTTTATCACTTAAGCCACCTATTATAGTTATAACAGCCTGCACTAAGCCAGAACTCTAATTGTAGGTACATTAAAAGATCAGATACTGCCAGTAGAGCATGCCTGTAACCCCAGTTGGGGAGACAGAGGAAGGAGGATTCCAAGTTCAACTTAGTGAGGCCCTATGAAACTTAACAAGGCCCTATATCAAAATAAAAAATAGAATGGGTTGGAGATGTGACTCAGTGGTTAAGCATCCCTGGGTTCTATCCCCAGTAACCCAAAAAAAAACCAAAACAAAAAACAATAACAGAAACATTGGTAAAGAACAAAAATACAGCCATTTATTGGTTATTAACATTTTCTAATATTCCTGGATACCAGGTGACACTAGCAACTCACTCTCAGGAAGAAAGGAACTCCACATCAACTCATCCTTCCTACACCTGCATTGGTGACCTCAGTATTCGAAGGTCTCATGTCAATGCTGAAACCAATGCTTTATTTAAGGATTTCAATTTCATTTGTATTTCCTGATTTAGAAAGTGAAATTTATCTGTAACAAGAAATTTATATACTTCTTGTATTATATCTCATATTTATTTCCTTTATTACATATTTCTAATATATATATATATTTTTTGGAATACAACTTTTATCTGTATAAGTCAACTGTATACTTCCTTTAAGAATAGCTTTCATATACAAGTTACACAGATCATAAATTCCAAATACTACTGTTGACTTTTTAAACACAAATGATATATTCTGTATGAAATAAAATAGCTTAAAGGGATGGTTTGATCCGATAAGAAACACAATAAACTAACAATGTGGTTTTTGGACACCACAAAACCATTATACATGAAGTAAATTCTATGTTAAAGAATAAATCAAGACGATTTTGGTGTTTTTTCAGTATGCCTCAGTTGATACTAAACACACAGAAACCAAGAACAGCTACTCTTGGAATGCAGATGTTTCAGGGAATGTTTACATGATGAAGGGAACAGTAGAATGGGAAAAGGTATTTCAAAATTATTTTATAGGACCTCTAGAGGACTTAAATAAAGTAACCACTGATATGCTGTAGGATTTATTTCACCGTGCTCTCTCAAAGGTATTTGGTTAGGAAAAAATAGTAGTTACAGACGATGAAATAAAGAGCTATTCAGGAATAATGAAATCTATTCATGTGAAATTATGATGTTTGACATTCTGCCAAGAACACTGATGTTATATGATACTATTGAGCATTGCATCTATTTGTTGTCCCTCCTTGTCTCTCTATCATAAAACTTTAAATTTAGAGGAACAATTTCTTTAATAATAAGAAAAAGGAAGTACTGAAAAAATCTAAACTTACTACATTTTGCACATCAGGTCCAGAACTTCTTCAATTCTTTTTTATTTTTTAACAAAAATGCATGTTTTCTTTTACATAATTGAATGAAAACACAGAATTATAGTGGAATGAAGCTTAGATTTATATACAGTCATATATGAGAGTTGGGCAGTATCATTTTACAAAGGCAAAGAGATAATACAAAAAATTTTTAGAATTAATGCATGAGGGCAAAAGTGGCACATTCATTTGGACTTGTAGTTACATTATATTTTTATTGTACTTTATGATTTGAAATTAGCCATCAAATGGAAAATTCCTAATATCTGGCAGAATGCTAAATTTAAGCAACTAGCAAAACCCCTGAAATCTAGATAGGTCATTCCCTTGTATTATATACATGAAAACAAAAACAAATAGCAATAGTTAATCTCAACAGAAAGCCAGGATATACTGACAATGAAACATACTCTAAATTACATGGCACATGAATTATGGCTAGTCTAAATTAAGATATGCTGTAAGTATTGCTAGATTTCATAGACTCAGAAGAAAAATGAAATATAAAATATCTCATTACAGTTTTTATTTTGAATACATGTCAAAATGAAAATATGGTTTAAATAAAAGGTATTATTAAATTTAATTTCACCTGTTTCTTTTTAATGTTTTATTATGGCTATAAGAAATATAAAATTACATTTATGATTTGCGTTATATTTCCACTGGACAGCAACACTCTAAATGAATGAATTATGGTGCCCAGCTACTACATGGCTGTACACACAACTGCTCTTCCAGAAGTAGTTCTCATTGTAGGTAGAACATGTAGCTCAAACAGAAAATTAAAAAACACCAAAATAAAAAGCTCTTGAGGGAGAAAGTAAGAGAAGTATTGGAAAAAATCATCAGTGCTTTAAAATGATTTTTAAAAGTATATTATTCGTTTTTGTTAAATGGACTAGATAAGCATACAACTAAGGTGGAATAAGGAATTTCTTCAAATGTCTAAAAGTCATTTTCCTTTAAACCAACACATTAACATGTTGCAAGAAATCACATATGTTGAAACAAGTAAATCTATTTCTTTGAATTATGATTTTATGTTGTATATGTTTTGAGTCTGATTAAAGGGTCCTAAGAAATGCAATTGTTATTGCCGAGTTATTTTGTATTGTCATACTGAGCTATTTTCTTCTGTGGGTTAGAAGAGGAGAAAGAAAGGACGCCTGGTGATGTTTTGGGTGATTGGGAGATTCCACTGTTCCTGTCCTTCCTCTGATATTAGTGGGTCTCCAGGGTCCTCTGAGATTTCAGGCAAGGTTTTACCCCCTGTTAGAGCTCAGTTGCATATGGGAAAGCACAGGAGGGGAGTCAATCTTATCTAGATCAAAGTAGAGTAGAAAGATAAGAGGAATCAGGCTTTGGTGGCAGAGATGGTGGCAGTCAAGAAAGGAAAAAATGAGCAACCTAGGCTACATAGAACAAACAGTTGCAAGCTTATTAGCTCAAGAGAGAGACAAGGCATGGATATGCTCAGAAAAGGCTACAGGTGAGGATACCAATGTTCCTCAGGGCAGAGACAAGTAATTACTCTTTCTGTATCCTGAGCCTAGCTAGTTTAAAGGCTTCACTTCAATGACTGGTCAATAATAAAAGCAGTGAATGGTAATCAGTTTCATTCTAAATCTCTGGGAATCCTTTGGCTACTGTGTGGCCTTCATAACTGCACACAGTAATATATTTAGAAACAATATTAAATAAATTCCTTTGACATTTTGAATGCATTTCCTTCAGAAAACTAATACATAAAGTTAATAAGTATTAACATTTTTGCAATACTAACAATGGTATTTCTGGTTTAGAAAAAACTGAGCATTAGAACAGATCAAACAAAAGAGAATAAAGGCTAGAAGCGTGTTAGACTTATACCTACGTAAAATGTTCCAAATATTTTTCCAAAACAAAAATAAACATACCAGTAAAACATGCAGAAGAAAGGTAAGATACAAACCAACTGTTAGTGGGAACAAGAGGGAAAGCTTTCATTTAAGGAAGCAAAAAATAGTTCACTCATTTTTATGACATATCAAGCTAAGAACAAAGGTGCAATGGGTTACCTGGGAATAGGGATATATCGAAGTTTTTTTGAGTGCAGATCAGTGACTTCTATATAACCAGCTGTCTGTGGGGGTGTAACACCTGCAAACAAGTCACAACATGAAACAAGTATTAATGACTGCCTGATACCAAAGCATGACCCCAAGAATGCTTGATTGTTGCTAAAAGCAGAATGAAGTTACCACTATCCTACAAAAGAACTGTGGGACCTACTTGAAAAGGTACTGGGCAAGTCCAGCTCTCAAAGCTAGACTTAAAATTATGGAGAAACACAAAGATTGTCAAGTAGAAGCATATTAGGTAGTGATTTACTGTCATAAAAAATAACCTGTCCTTTTCTTCATTATCTTTGATAGCATTCCAATATGGTCGATTTTTTAGCATAGTTATTTAAAAAATATTTAATCGTTTGAATTCTGTTTCCCTTCTTAGGAAGTCACAACAATGCCTAACAGGAGACAGTATAAAGTGGTAGAATTTAGTATCTGCTTTGCAATCAGACTGATCTGTGAGCAGTTCTGGCTGTGATACTTCCTAGCTGTTGGTAAAAATATTTACATCTTTGAGGTCTGCTTTCTCATTTGTAAAATAGAGATAATAATAGCATCTGAGCAGCATAAGCATTATTTTGAGGATGAGATGAAATGAATAAATGCAAAGCATCTAATTAGTAGTAGCTCAGCATATAGTATCTGTCATTATTAGGGTTCTGCAAAACAGAAGGTGAGATGAGGATGGGGCAGGGAAGTAAGGACTTTGGATCATGAAGAGTATACAAAGTTCGGGGTAGGAAAAGACAAAGATATGGTGGTCAGGGCTTGTAACTGAAATTTTGGGATTGCTCTCCCAGAAAATTCCATGGCTTTCTGACTTCTACTCCACAGCTCCAAATACCTCTGCCTCCCTCAAAGCACTACCTGTCATTAGTGTGTGTCACTAATTCTACTTTGTCTTTATAGGCAAGACTCATGATTCCTATTTGAATGAGGAAGAAGCTGAGTTCTATAGAGCTAATGTCACTATAGGACTGACTTGAGGTGATTTAGCTGTACAGTGATGGTTTGAAACCCATCTTGCTCTGCCAATCACTGCACACATCTCCTACCTGAGCTGGCTCTAGGACAATGGCTATTTGTAAAATAGCCCTTTTACAAAACCTTGGACACTAAGATATCTTAAAAACAAGATAAAACTTACCCCACTACAAAACTTTTAAGATTTTTGTCCATCTTTGTCTGTCTACCTATCAATCATCTATCATTCTATCTACCTACCTATATTTTATTACAACTTCACATAACAATGAGAAGTCCACACTAAATTAATGGAATGTAGGAAAGAGGGAAAGAGAGAGAGAGAGAGAGAGAGAGAGAGAGAGAGAGAGAGAGAGAGAGATAGATAGATATCTGGCATTTTATTTCATGATTGCAGTTTAAGGAGTTTTTCCTCAGGTTATCTCAACAACTCAACATATCTCTTATTTATTCAACAGATGTGTTTGAGCTTACTTTGTATCTGAGGACATAGAGAAGATAGAGAAGAAGGAGATGCCACCTTTAAAGAGCTCACAGCATAAAGAGGTGGGCCCTGGGGGACTCTGAAGATTCCAGAGTGGGAATTATAACTCTGAGGCCAGGTATGAACTGAAGAGGTAGGCAAGAGGAGGGCCCAAACTGTGAAATATGATGTATTAAGAACTGTGTAATGTTTTGAACGACCAACAATAAAAAAAAAAAAAAGGTTCAGGAGGAAGAGAAGGAAATGTACAGGGGAAGGAAGGCTAAGCAAAGAGTGTTACTATGCAATTTGACCACCCAGCTGCAGTGGCTGTACCCAGACAGCCGTTTGTATAAAATGAACATGCTTAGCATAAGTCACGCACTGTCTGCATTGTACTGCCTAGGATATAAGGTCAATCTTGGATAAAGCTTTATACCATATGTCGATTTTGACAATTCCTGCTGCTAGAACCTAGCTGAAGTAGGTTGAATTATTTATAGACCAGGGTTCTTTGCCAAAAATAACCAGTTATTGAAACTGTTGGGATGACTAGAGCTGCTTAGCGAACCAACTTAAACATTTGGGTATAGCATTTAAAAGGCATTTTTTTTTTAAATATAGTAAGTAGAATTAAGTTGAGCTGCTGCCATCAGCACTTTCAGGTTGCTTGTGAAAGCATTGTAAGCCAACTTATTTAAAAATATTTTTTCTACATCTTTCTTTACTTTCCCTGGGTAGATTAATTCCACAACACAGAAGGTGAGAAAATGCAATAATGGCTGTATCTGCTATTTCAAGAAGAAAGCAAAAAATTTTACTCCTGGTACTAAAAATATACTTCCAGGTATAAGAAAGGGAATTTGTGGCTACAGAGCACTTCAGGGAAATATTAAGCATGGTGGCAGTGGTGGTAAAATAATCAAAATTTTAATGTCTACTGATTTGAAAATAAATCAGCTCAGAAAACAAGAATATTTACAAAAATAGTCTTATGGCTATCTTTGAACAGAATATAAGATTGAATTAAAGAAATGAAAACTGTGGCCAGGTTTCCCTCCAAACTGAGGCAAGTCCTTGTCCATTTAAAATGTTTCCACACTGTAGAGAGGATGAAGGCTCAATATATTTCCATTACACTTATAATCCAGGTGGATTTTAAAGATGGGTATAAACTGTATTTAGGGATTAGTCCACAAACCATTAAAGGGAAGTCATTGCTGCAATGTTTATCACATAATTCCCATGAACAGTGAGGACAGGATATATGCACAGTGCCAAAGTTAGAAGGAGGTATAAAAACTGTCAGGTGAAACAACTAAGAAGATTTTCAAAGGGAAGGTGAAATTATACTTAAAAATTCACTCCTTTTAGAAATATAATTTGATGTACATCTGTTAACCACTAGGTTTAATACTCTTCTATTTATTCATGGATTAAAAGAGTGATGTGTGCCATAATAAAAAGGCTTTTAGAGTTTCTCACTATGATATTTTCCAGTGACGTTTTATATGCTGCGGGAATAACAATTTTGTAATTCCACTCCTAGATAGACCCATTACAGACTCTCAATATTCGTATAAGGAGAGACTTAGTTGCTAGAATATTCACAGCACTACTCTTTATAATGACCAAAAAATTGGGGGAATAAACCTAAATGTGCATTGACAAACAATAGAGGAATAAACTGTAGTGTGTAAAGCAGTGGAAATAAAGGTAGAGCTCTCAGTATGGTAATGACAAAGATTCTTTCCTTGATCAAGCTCTACTCAGGCTCTTCAGAATCCTCTTTCCAACTAGGCCTAGTTCTTGGGCTTCTATGTTTGCCTCTTGCACTGTTTTATAAAAAATTAAGTCAAAATGGATCATAAATCTAAAACTATAAAGCTTCTAGAGGAAAACACAGGAGATTAGCCTTTTATTCAAATAGGGGAAAATGTATGAAAAATACAAATAATCTGACACTGGATTTGTATTTAGAATATATAAAGAGCACTCAAAAGCCATTAATAAGAAAATGAATACCCCAATTAGAAATGGGCAAAAGAAGCGAAGAGACATTTCACTAAAGAAGATACATGTGAACAGATATTCAATATCATTAGGTGCTATAGAAAATGCAAATTAAATTACTATAACCTGTTAAAACAGTGAAAAATCTGACAATGCCAAGTATTGGCGAAGATGCAGAGCAACTATAACTCTCATTCATTGCTGATAGGAATGAACTGCCATTTGGGAAAACAATTTCGGCAATTTTATCATAGAATGTAGAAGTGTCATTCCTAGGACTTACACAAGTAAAAACCTAAAAATCACTTAAAAATCTAGGCTCAAATGTTCATAGTTGTCTTATTAATTACTTTAAAAAATTATATACACATACATACATACAAATTTGTGAACAGATAGGCAAACTGTGGTATATCTATATAATAAACTACCACTTGGCAATTAAAAGGAGCAAACTACTGGCATGCACAAAACAAATGATTCTCAAATATATTTTATTAAGTGAAAGCAGCAAGACTCAAAAGACAATATACTGTATGATTTCATTAATGATATTCTAGTAAAAGAAAATCTATAAGGACAGAAGTCAGGTCAGTGATGGGTTGGGGGTAAATAGACCAGTTGGCTGTAAGTGACATGGGAAGGTTTTTGAGGTGAGGATACTTCTCTTCTTTATCAGTTGGATGATTAGTTATACAACTATTTGTGTTTGCAAAACTCACAGAACTACACAGTAGAAAGGGTAAAATTTGACTATATATAAATTGGACCTTACTGAGAACAAACGTATACATTAGAAAGTCAGTCATCTGATATGTAGAGAATAAGTAGGAAAGGAAAAGAGTAGAAGAGGCCCTGGCATTACTCCAGTGGTGGTGCACTGGATGTTGGTAACAGAACTTGATAATATCAGGAAGGAAGTATCAAAAGTACATTATGATTGATGATGGATTTGATGTAGAGAATGAGGGAGAAAAGGCATCAAGTGGAGCCCCAGGCTTCTGGGTAGATAAAGGTGCGCTAAGTTCTGGTATAAATCATAGTGTCATTCCTGGAGTGCTTTGTCAAGATCCTGTACCTTTCACGCAGGCCTCTCTTTTTGTTGAACAATTCCCATTCAATTAATTCCCCCTCATCCTTCAAGAGTCACCTCCTACTCAGCAGTCTCAGCTAAAAGCTTCTTTTTTTGTGTTTGAATATTGCCTTGTGAATATTCTTATCATAGCACTGATGACATAGTGCTGTAATTGTCAATTTATTCATCTGCCTCTTCTATCACAGGAAGACTGTTTAGGGAACTAGGGATTTATTTTCCTTGAATTTCAGATGGGAAGGAACTAAATATTATCATTCAACCAAGACTTTTCAAATCCACTAATAGATTATTATTATCATACATTTTAGCATTATACTTGTGAAGTCCACACCAATAGAATGAACATAAACACAGCATAAACACATTTCTACTACCACAGTGCAAATAATAATACTCAATGATTTAATGTTTAATTTTTTTATAATTACCTATTCTGATGAATGCCAGTGTGGTTCTATACAAATAACTCTAAATCTGGAATTGGAAGAGCTTGGGATAAATCTGAGTTCTGCTGGCTATTGGTGGGTAATCCTGGGCCAGTAATTTTATTTCACTGTGTCAGAATTTCCTCACACATAAATCAAAGAGCAAGATGACAACAGGATAGGGTTCTAGAGATCAAGTGAATTTATAGAAGAAGTGATCCGCACTGCATTTGGATATACTGTGTAGTAAAAAAACACAAGTTGACATGGAGAGCACTGATGAGTGAACTGGTCTCATGCTAAGCTGTGGGCCTTTGGTCTCAGGACTCTCTATGCCTAAATCCTAATCATTTTAAAAGGCTCTTGAAAAACATGTTCTAGGTAAAGTCACTTTACAGATTGTAATGTGAATGTTGATGAGCTCTAACAGCAGTGCATACAACCATACACTGTGTAAAGATTAGTGAGCGGTTTCAAAATACACAAAGCCCACGGGGCATGGTGTACACACCTGTAATTTTACACCAGCTACTGAAAAGGCTGAAGCAGAAGGAGTGTAAGTTTCAGGTCAGCCTTAGAAACTTGATGACACATTGTCTCAAAATAAAAAATAAAAAAGGTTGGGGATATAGCTCAATGATAGAGCACTACAGGGCTCAATTCTCAGTACCAAAAATCACAACCAGCACCTTCCTCCCAGCCCCACCTACAAACAAACACACACACAAACACACAACCCATATAGCTCTTTTTAGCTACTTATAAAATATGAAATAATAATCATAAACTAAATATCCCCTACCAAATCAGATAGTGATAACTTCTTACCTTTTGGGTAGATATCTTTTAGAGGGACTTCTCCTGGGGGCAAAATTCTGACTACCTGATTAGTATCTAAAAGAGTCACACAATTTCTCTGTCTTGGAGCCCCCTTCTTCTTCTTTCCGCCATAAAATGCTGTATCAGTGACACTGGGTTTATGCAAAGATGTTGGCCTCTTCCAAGAATAAACTTCACTGGGTGACTGAAAAAGGAAGGAAGAAAGAAAGGAAAGAAAGAAGGAAGGGAGGGAAGGAGGAAGGGAAAGGAAGAAAAAAAAATTAAAGTACCATATAACACATTCACCATAACTATTACAATATTTTCCTTTAAGTATACACCAGTGGTAAACCTGTCTGACAAGAATAAGAAAATCAAATTATCTTTTTGAATTGGGTATAGGAGAGGGCTGCTTTACCAAAAATCATAATTTCCAGACAAGTATGAAATATATATTAAGTTTTTATTTTGAAAGAAATTACAACTAAAAAGAGGAAATATGGCAGTATAGTTAGCTCAAACATAATATAATATAAAACTATGTATCTGGTATAAAGATAAGAAAAGAACATAACTGGCATTTTTAAACCCTTGGAGTATCCCTACCCAATCACACATCTCTGGTACACCTATATTTAATTCTCCTGGAATTTCTTATTATTTTTTCCTTTGGTTTATTTTAAAATTTTACCATGTATATTTATCCTTCCAAAAGATAATAAACTATATTTTCCTATATTTTCTCTTAAAAGGCTAAGGTGTTGTCTTTTGAATTAAATCTTTAACCCATAAGGAATTAAGTTTTGTGCATGTTGTGAGGCAGGGACACATGTCTGTCTATTCTTATCTGGACAGATATTTGCCAAAATACCACTAACTTTTGCCCAATGATCTACAAATGTTTTCATAAAACAGAGTTCAGTGTATGCATGCCTCTGTTTCTGGAGGCTGCATTCTATTCTACTGCATATTTTTCTACCTCTAGGCCAAGAAGACATGGTCTTAGTTCCTACAAATTTATATGCAGGCTTGAAATTTAGTAGGTAAAGTAACTTTGGTTGCTTTTTCTTCACATTTTTTTTTCAATGATGTCTTTGTTATTGTTTATTCTTCCATATTCATAAAAAATATATGGACTGTATTTACTCTGTATTCTTGTCAGTATTTTTTATTTTAGCCATTCTAATAGTATCTTACCAGGGTTTCAATTTGCATTTCACTAATAACTAATGATGTTGAAGATCTTTTCTTGGACTTATTTGCCATCTCTATATCCTCTGTAACTAAATGTTGTTCAAATCTTTTGTCCACTTTTCCCCCACACTTACCTTTAATATTTTTCTATATCTACCTAAATACATTGAAAATTGAGTTCATACAAACATATCCAATTACAATCCAAAAGCTACAGGGTTCATTCTAGATTTCTTCCTTTCACTATTGCCTTCTCCAAAAGTGAGAAACCAATTTTTATTATCCTTAATATATTTTAATTATACTTAACATAGTTCATTATCTTTATTATAACATCCTTGAAATATATTTATTTTCTTCTTCAAGTCCATTATAAGTGACCCATCTCTACCACTAACCTTACCCTATGGACAGAGCCCTGCTCTCTTTGCTTCATCCCCAAAGCCCACACTGGGTTAGTCTCATGCATGGGCACTTTCCTCATCTTACTTGGGATCCCATTTCTCACAACAAGCTGCCCCTTTATAAGCTCAGACTTGATGCCCATCACCAGTAGTTACCCCTTCCCTGCCATGAATGCACTTCTTACCCCACTTAGGCTCTGACCTTAATTTAACAAGGTACTGGGAATTGAACTTGGGGGCTCTTTACCAATAAGCTACACCCCTAGCACTTTCTATATTTTATTTTTAGTTCACTGTTTGCCCATCTTAAAAATTGGGTTATTTTCTTACTTTTGAGCTTTAAGAATCTTATAGATCCTAGGAATAAGTCCTTTGTTAGAAATGTAGTTTCCTAGCTTGTAGATTATCTTTTTATTATCTTAACAGTGTTAAAGATCTTAATTATCTTAACATTATTGAAGATGATATTTGCTATAGGTTTATATAACTATTTGGGATTAGGTTAAGAGAATTATATAAATTTGTAATAAACTGTTGCCTCTGATAGTTTTATTAAGAAATAGTAAGGGGTGTCATTCTCCTTTGTTGATAGTTTTATGAAGAATCTAAAGAAATTCACATAAAAGCAGAAAGGCAGTATGGTGTAAAAGAAAGTATATGGGTTAGCTGTGTGTAGAGATGCATACCTATAATCCCAATGACTCAGGAGGCTGAGATAGGAGGATCAGCCTCAGAAACTTAGGTCCTTAGCAAATGAGACTCTGTCTCAAAATAAAAAAATAAAAAGGACTAGAGCTGTAGCTCAGTGGTAAAGGCCTCTGGGTTAAATCCCTAGTTACCCACCCCCCCAAAAAAAAAGTTTGAAAAGAAAGGGTATGAGTTAAGGGTTTAGTTATACTTGAGATCAAATCTTAAGGCTCTTAGTTGTAAGCCTTGTGACCTGGGGGAATAGAACATCTCTGTTTCTGTTTCTGTATCCACAAAACTGTAGAATTATTATTTTTTTTTTAAAAAACTATTATGCCAGGCCTCATGGTGTATGTCTGTAATCCCAGCTACTAAGGAGGCTGAGGCAGAGGATTGTAATAAGTTTGGGGCCAGCCTGGGCAGCTAGAAATATCCTATCTCAAAATAAAATATAAAAAGTGCTAGGGGTGTAGCTAAGTGGTAAAGTGCCCCCAAGTCAATTTCTAATACTAAAAAAAAAAAGTTAACTATTATATATGAAAAGGCTTAGAACCATACAGTGCCTTATTACTACAGATGGGCCCAAAGAAAATATGACTGTTACCACAAAAGTCTGAAAGGCTGCCTAGTTAACTCTTTCATTAACAAATATTCACTGGTGGTGTGTTTAATACTAAATATTAAGGATATAGCTTTTATTTTAACAAGGTGACTCTTACAAGGTAAAAGACTTCTATAGGGTTAATAGTTTATTTTACTCAGTTTTTACTTTCTAACCTTTTATGGTGATATTATATTTCTATACTAATTTCATTAGTCAAAAAACAGTGATAAGATCAATTTGTTTTAAATAGTTCCACTTTCACAAAAAATTCAAGTTTTTTTTCTACTCATAGCATATTAAACACACCTCTTTTATTTGATCAGGCTGCTGTTGGCACTGTTTTTCAACAATGTATTTCATTTTGAGTTAGATAACATAATAGCAAATGCTTTTTACTTGATAATTAGGAAGGCATACGGCAAGTCCTAAGCCATGTATTATCCATTGGGTTTTATACTTCAAATGTCTTATATCCTCAAGTACTCACAATTTATTAATTACATTAAAATTTAGAGGCATGTGAGATTGGTGTATTACTAAGTACAGCTAATACTTTCATCTTTAAATGATTATATTGTCTGATCTAAAAGCTACAAAGAAAATTATTAAAATTAAATGTTTACTCAAAACCATGGAGTTACATCTAAGGTTAGTATACAGAAACTTGTACTAAAATAACCTTTATATTTCATTTCCCCACATTTCCACTAGGGGAAGATGGTGCCTAGTTTCACCTGAACTCAGTTACAAATAGCCTTTCTTTTAGCAATAAAGATAGATAAAAGCATAAAGTTCCATCTAGGAGAAAAATAAATTAAGACCATTACCCATTACATTATTAGAGGTTTCTGCAGAGATATGATAAATCAGAATAAAACTCAATGGGAAGTAAATATGAGTTAAAAAATTTAATCTATAGTAATGACACCCATATTTAACCTGAAAAAATTCTAGAAGGCATACTTTATTAGTTTCAAGTTGTTTCTCCTGGCAGAGTCCATGAACACACATTAAGATGACATGATTAAAAAAATCATCTTCAATAGGTTAAATGTTAAATGTGTCATATGAACTCCTACATATGAAGATACTCGTTTCTTACTAAACTAGATCATTGCATTACAATTTGATTGGTATACAGTAAAACATATTCTTTACTGATTTCAAATGCAAACTTGATTTAAAATGTTTACCAGAAAGCTATTACATTTCAATTGTCTCTTAAATAGGCTTACAGATTTTACATCAAATTGCTGAGAAGTAATTATACAATAATGTAAAACATTGGTGCTCACCATGAGATCTGGGAAGCCAACCGCTATGGCAGCATAATTGTTCTCATCTGAGAAAATTCGGTTGGGAGAGGCAATCTTTTGTCCTACAGCTGAACTCAGATTTTCAGATGACAGTTGATCACTTGAAATTTTATGAGGTATGCTGACCACCATTTCTGAAAATGTCAGACACACATTAGGCACTATTGACCCCTAAAATGCTCTAGGAATTAAATTTTTGCAAGATTCATTCTCAACAACTCAAACAGAAAAACACAGTAAAAAATAGAAAACATTCTAAATTGCACTCATGAGCTTTTGCTGAGAAAACTGTTTTCATAATCAAAGCTTCTTCCCAAAGTGATTCCAAGTATTTACGGAATTCAGAATTTTATTAGTAATAAATATCATCATTAATAGCTCCCCACAGAAAAGATGCAAAACTGACCCAACCCAGTATTGGCAATAGTAAAGTTTTAGATGTTTTCATAAGTACTGTTCACTTCCCCAAACTTAGCCAATGGATGTAGTCATAAGGGAAGGGGACTTGAAATTTACTGTGCATTCTTTATAAACCAAGTGCCATACACTGCCATACACTGTGATGAATTAAATAGAAATTCTGATGGCCTGTGGAAAACAGAAAAGATGCTATGCTAAATTAGTCTTGGAACCTAAATGTAAGTGAAAATTTTTATTTGACAGTTTAAAAATTTCAAGCACAAGACTTAAAAGAGTGAGCTTCCTTATAATACTTTGAAAGCAGATTATTCCTATTTCCAGGGTAATAATTACTTTTTCTTTCTTTTGGTGTAAATATCACATAATCTTGATGTTATTGTTCTTCAATAAATCTAGAGAATAGTTTGTGAATAAGCATGCACCCACACAGCCATAAACACAGACAACATAGTATTTACCTTGTGTAATTCCAAACCCTGTGCTAGGCAGCTCCTCTTTCAACATATACAACTGGCAAACCCCACTGTTCTCAGATTCAGTGTGTGCAGGCTTAGTTAAAAGATATTTTCTGTAAACAAACAAGACATTCAACTTAAGTGTAACGCTTCTTTTTCGAGAAATCATTAGGGCATACCAAGAAAAACTAGTTGTTCGCTCCAAAAGCCTTTAAAAAAATAGTTGAGTATAATTTACTGTTTCAACATTTCATCATGAATTTAAAAAATAAATTCTCAAAACTATTAACACCATTATAAAGAATAGTACCCAATGACAATACAGTGATGAAGGCAAATCAAACATTCAAGGCTTTCTATAAGCTAAAGGGCTATTAAAGGAAAGCAATGCTAACAGGGCACACCCTTATAATCTTGGAGCCCTCTATTAATATGTCTGTCTGGTCAGGCAGAAAGTGAGAGCATGAACTCTGACTTTGTGATCAGCTAAGGGTCAGAAGTCCTCATCATTATAATCTTCTTGACGGATTTATTTTTAAGCTGTCTAAAATGTGGATGCATGAATAGCCAGAAACTGTTTGTAGTGAGCCACTTTTGCTTGTCATCAGAAGGACAGAACTCTTCACTTAGCCAATGGATGTAGTCATAAGGGAAGGGGACTTGAAATTTACTGTGAATTCTTTATAAACCAAGTGCCATACACTGCCTTTGATCAAAAAATATACAGTCCCAATGGGGGAAGGCAACACAAACAAACAACCATAACCAAATAAGAGGACAAAAGATGAAAAGAAGAAACTTCTAAGGTATGAATTCTGGGAAGTTACAAAAAGGCAATAGCTCTAGGATAGAGTCTAGGGCTCTTAGAAGGGAGAATAACTGAAAATCTATTTTGAAATACCTAGTGCTTGGCTAGAACACTGTGAGTTGTCAATGTGCAAATAAAAAAATTTGAAATCAATATGGATCATATGTAAAAGTTATTATTTTTGCTGTTAATTTCAGTGTCACACTCTGAGAAGTGATATTTATTTTAATTTTCTCCTCTCTCTTCTTATAACTTTTCACCAATAGAGATGGTGCCAGATACAGAAGTTGTTAAAAGAGATAAAAGGAAGATGGAGTAAGGGTTTTGGATAATTGATAAATAAGGTTAAGCTAGGCATATTGCACAAGATGCTACACAGTACAGATTCACCCACTGATTTGTTTCACTTTCCACCAGAAGCCATTTGTCCTCTGCTACAAGGAAAACTCTCTCAAGGTTGATGGGAAGTGAGATGGTATGAGCTCGCCCTTCCAAAACATCCAGCACCGTCAATCTGTTCCTAAAAAAGGAAAAGAAAACCGTGTCTAAAAGGAATGATAAGGATAAGTTGAGTGACTAGCATAATCCTTTCATGATATATTATGCACTAAGTAATAACAGAAAATGTTAATTGAGAAAGCACATAAACAAATTCTAAACTGTCAGGATGTGAAGAAGAAGAAATAATGAAAAGTGACACCTGCCATATTAGTAGTGTTGCATTATGAAATTTTTAGTGCTCTTTTTTTCTATCTTTCTCAGTGTTCTACAAACGTGGACATAGTTACTTTCACACTAAAACATTTATAATTTGGTTATATTAGTTTTGTACTAAACAAGTATAATTAAAACAGGAAACAGGATTAATAAAATAAGTAACCCAGTTTGTCTTATTCAATAAAGAGCTTACCCTTTTTCTTTGTAGAATACTAGCCAGTTTTTGTGTGAAAATTCTTTACACATTTTATAAGTTTCCTAAAGACAAAACAAAATATTAAATGTTTCAGATGTAGTTACATTTCTTTAGCTGCTTCCCCTTAAATAAATTTCTTCATTGTGTAGAAAGAATACATAACTCTTGGAGAAGATATATAATCACTTCAAGACTTTTACAATAACATGGATTAAACTATACTTCAAAATTTATTGTGGATTATGTAATAAAACCTCCATTGAATATTTTTTTTAAATACTGTCAAGTACTATTTGAAATAAACATGCTGTTTGGTGATTAACTGTGGAATTTATTATAATGTAAATTATAATATAAACACATCAGAAATACTTAGTAGCATTTTTTAAAAATCTCTTTTTTCTCATGGTCTATTAAGACCTAAGTATGCTGTCTTATACAGTACTGGATAAACCTTATTTTATATCAGAATCAATTCTCTTGGGTTGGCCTTCAGTGCTCATTTATTCAATTTGGTTAATAAACTGAAACATTTATTTATCTGGTGAGACAATTAGGTATTCTACTCATAGTTTTATCATATAAACCTAAAAAAGAACTACATAACTGAAAAATAGGTTAAATGATGAAGAATTTGTTATTAATATCATAATCAAACAGTTCATAATGTTCTTTTATTATTCTTAGTTAGTCCTGGCAATCTTCAACTCAGTATAATGTATACCAAAAGAAGCTACTGATATTTATTTATAGGTTTATCTTTATATATTGTATCATATCTCTATATATTAGATGTTAAAATCCACAGATGTAACAAGAGGTCTCTCTCTTGTGCATTATAGTTTTTTTTTTAAGCACCAAAAGGAATGTGCAAGCTTGCATTTTCATGGAAAATGAAAGCTACAGAAAATTGTTGGCAATCTGTCCAACAGAGATCTGATATTCCTTACTTCTTCCTCCTTGCTCCACCAGGAAGATTTCTTAGATGCTACCTCTTCTAAAGGAAGGATGAGACGACGAAGGACCTGGCCAGTGGTATCTAATAAGAGGATGACATTACTCTGGAAATAAAGAAAACAGTATTAAGTTGAAAATTATTTTTAAAGAGCAGTAAAGGTTAAAGAGAATAAAGGTTAAATAAAGGGGAACCCAAAAGGAAGACAAAAATATTGAAATAATAAGATATCATGAAGACATTTAGTGATTTTCCTTACTATAGAATTTAAAGTTTTGAGTGATTTTATCAGGATATGTCTAATTGTGTAACCTTCTCCTAAAAGATTTTATCTTAAAATCATTCCCTTCTAAGTATAAGGCAGCTGAACCATGTTTTATTATATAATAACAAGGAAATTAAGAGGATTGATAGTTTTTAAAGGTTCATTTACTTTTATCAAAATTACACTTAGAAAATGTCCTGTTGAAAGCTTTTTTACACTCTGCATTCTTAAGTCTCATTTATCCTTTTCAGAAACAAAAGTTTAACTTAGAAAATAGATACTAGATATAAAGATGGGTTAGCAAAAAAAATATGAAGGACCCCAAGAGCCCAGTTAGTAATGAGTGTCATCTTGAAATTCACTGAGCTTGAAGGACTTTCATTACTGGTGCTGTATTATGAAGAAAATGTAGTGCTAAGAGGTTTTAGCAAGGTGAGAAAATGGATTTGGATGAAGGAGACATTTTCTCATTTAATTTTGTAAAGGGTATCAAAGAAATTCAAGTTTTAAGAAAGGAGCTATCACTTTACACCTACAAGTCAAAACAACATTATAAAGCTGGACAATGCTGAGTGTGGGCAGTGACACAGGGACTTGTGACCCTTTTGTACTATTAGTAAGCATGTACAGCCATTTGGGAGAACAGCTGACACCACCTGGGAAAATTAAGTTTATGTGCTGATGATGATCTAACATTTCTATCTGGGTTTTTATTGCAAATAAATTCTTATACTAATCCATAAAAAAACTTGTACAAGGGAAAAATTACATACAAATGAAGCATTATTAATCACAGCTATACAATGAGGTAATAATCTCTCAGGAAATAGAATTCTTTTTCAAGAAAAGAAAGAAACTTTAAGCATTATAATACATGAACAGAAACAAAAACATAAAATTGAGAAAGTCAGAAAAGATTAGATATTTTAAAGAGATGTAAAGAAGTTGGCTTTTCTAGTTGAAACATTAAAATGTTTTAAGATTAAACTAACAAGTTTGCAAAACAGACACATGCAAGTTGTTTGTCAGGCCTCATTGTTACACAATTCTCCTTTCTCGTTTTTGTTTTGTTTTGTTTTGTTTTGTTTTAATTTGGGTTCTCCGGTTATCCTAACCCTTATAATATTTCATTTTAAGAACTTTATTTGGGGAAAATAAAGTCACAAAGCATCCAAATAATTAAAATATTCTTAGGAACCTATAGAAAACAATCAAATATGAAATATTTGCTCAATTATTCCATGATATCAATGGGGCAGCTTAAATTTAAAGCACAAAGGAGAACATAACCATAAGTTAATCATGATCCTTGCATTCTATTATGTTATATAGTTGGGGAAGTAAAAAGAAATATAAAAATATTAATGATTCAGCTGCAAATTTAGTAACTTATAGTGTGGTTTCATATTTATTTTACAAACTAACTTTATTGAAGTGCTCAAGAATTAAATAGCATTTGTACCGCACAGTTCATGTCAGACCATATATTGAAACATGATTGTATTACAAACTTTACTGAGCATGTTCATAAAACTTTAATTTTCCCACAATATCACCCTTGAAATGTATCATTCCATATAATATGTAAGCCTCCACTAAGAAAGTATGTTAGAAATATAATTTTAAAAATTAACATCTAATCAAGAAGTATTGTTCGTTGGTATTCTAAAGTTTTAAAAACAGTAGTGATAAATTAGAATTTTTCTTCAGAAAACATACAAATAAGTCAAAAAAAATATAAAGTCTTCATTCTAGATCAACTATTTTTTGAGTATGTTTTAGTAAAGAAGTCTTTCTTGGATGATAACTATATATAACATTTACATAAATTCCTAGCACATAAGCAATTTGAGAGACATTAACTTTTTTTTTTAAAGAGAGAGAGAGAAGAGAGAGAATTTTTTAATATTTATTTTTCAGTTTTCGGTGGACAAATGTCTTTATTTTATTTTTATGTGGTGCTGAGGATCGAACCCAGTGACGCGCACATGCCAGGTGAGCATGTTACCGCTTGAGCCACATCCCCAGCCCCAACATTAAATTTTAAAAGATGTCCTAATGTTTTATCCCCTCAAAACAATTAAACCAACAAATAAGCAGATGACTAAAGATATGCTTAAGCAGAAAAATAAGTTAGTGAAGTTTCCCATTTATATTCTTTTTTAGGGTCTAAAACTTATATATTCATAATCTGGTATAAATGAACTGAAAAACTATATCTTTCCAAGTGACAGAAAGTGTATATATTTCCATCTATGACTGTATTTAGAATTAGTTTTATAAGTAATTGGCAACATGAAGGAGTTCTGTGGCTCCATCTTTTAAGATGTTAATGGTTTCCTTCTGTAAATGACTAATGATATATTCTGTCTGAGTTTAAAAATAGAATTTCACATCACACATGAGTACAAGTTAACTGTGGCTTTGGCGCTCTTTTAAGCAGGGCAGGGAGGAGAAATAAGTGAGCAATTTTATTATGTTTGTATTTGACTGGGAGAAAAGTAACCTCTGGATGACCTCCATGTCCCCAAGTCTGAAATTCTAAACTCTGTGCAGATGTAATAAATAATTCCATGGGGGGTGAAGGAAGGGGAGGGTCTTTATTTTTAGGCATAGCAAAGTTTTCCTTTTTTCACTAAAGATTTTATTTTAGCAAGGAATTTTTGAATAATTTTTTAAACTAAAGGAAAGTGCATCTGAAGGCAAAGCTTTATTTTAAGAAGACAGGGATAGGTAAACTCATGGCAGTACAATATTTCAGCTTCATTTTCAGTGAGGACAGGTTGAAGAAGAAGAAACTGATGGCAGTCCACCCAGTTCCCATTCCACTAGAATTATCTACCAGTTGTTAAATTTCACAGCTGTTGGAATCAACAGATCTGGCATCCCAATAGGCCCATCTTATAAAACAGACAGCCAAGATATCCTCTCTGGGAAAGGATGAGGCAGTTTAGAGGACAGGATAGTGGAAGCATCCACATACTGCATGTCTGCTCAGGATGCTAAGCTCCTTTGTGAACAACTATTAACACTGTGGCCAAAGGGATAAGTAAGACAGTGTATAAGATGCCAGGAGACAAGATGCTGGCTGTGGATGCTGAACATAGCTTCACAATGAAAGTCATTGTAATCAAACAGAATATTAATCAACAACATTGTTAAATAACTGGATTTTTTGAGAAAATGAAACACATGCTGAGAACATAAAAATCTGATGTTAGAGAATTTGTATGTATGTAAAACTGACAGAGAATTTGTCAGCTAAAAATTTGGCAGAACTGTTTGAATAAATATTACAAATTTCATTTCTTTTTTAAAAATATCATTTATTCATTTTTTAATTTTTAGGTGATGCTAAGGATCGAACCCAGAGCCTCACACATGCTAGGCAAGTGCTCTGCCACTGAGTGTCTACAGCACCAGCCCCTACAAATTTCATTTCTCATACAAATTTGATTGACTTACTGAATGAAAAATCACTAACATATTATGTGCTTTTAATGATTCTTATAGATATAGGATTCAAAACAGACACTGATATTTTGTTGTTTACACTAAAATAAAACCCTTATTCCAATTTGCTGGACATGAAGTTTTATAAGCAATATCTGGATATGGATGAACTCTGTTTCTAGTAGAAAATGAAAATGGGAAAAACAAGCCCAAAACTGAGCCCAGAAAAATATCTTAACTCAGAATTTATGATAATTATTTAGGTAACAACTAAGTTAACTTATTTCCTCAAAAAGTTAGTGACATTTTATTTATCCAATATATTCTTCTTGAAATAAAATCTAAAAGTATTATTTCTTGGTAGTATTACTTACAGGTAACAATGCTGCATTTCTTTAATATTTTCCTATTATGAACTCTTTTCTTTATTTGTTCTAATTAGTCATACATGACAGTAGAACGTAATTTGATACATCATACATAATGAAATATAATTTCTCATTCTTCTAGTTGTACATGATATTGAATCATACTGGTCATATAGTTATATTATGTAAACAGGGTAAATAATGTTTGATTCATTCTACTATCCTTTCTAACCTCATACCCCTCCCCTCTCTTCACTCCCCTCAACCTAATCTAAAGTAACTCTATTCTTTCTTAGCCAAACCCCTCCCCTTATTGTAAATTAGCATCTGCATATCAGAGAAAACATTTGGTCATTGTTTTATTTTGGAATTGGCTTGTTTCACATAGCATGATATTCTCCAGCTCCATCCATTTACTAGCAAATGCCATAATTTCATTCTTCTTTAAGAATGTCACCTTTTCTTTATATATATTCATCTGTTGAAGGGCACCTAGGTTGGTTCTATAGTTTACCTATTGTGAGTAGAGCTGCTATAAACATTGATGTGCGTGCATCACTATAGTATGCAGTTTTTAAGTTCTTTGGGTATAAACTGAGGAGTGGGATAGCTGGATCAAATGATGGTTCCATTCCAAGTTTTCTGAGGAATCTCCATACTGCTTTCCATAATGGTTATACCAATTTACATTCCCACCAGCAATGTATGAATGTACTTTTTACCCCACATCCTTGCCAACATTTAATGTTGCTTGTATTCTTGATAATTGCCATTTGGACTGGAGTGAGATGAATATCCCTTGCATATCCCTAATTGATTTGCATATCCCTAATTGCTAAAGATATTGATCATTTTTTCATATATTTGTTGATCACTTATATACATAAAGAAAGAGCCTACAGAATGGGAGAAAATCTTTACCACATGGACCTCAGATACAGCACTATTCTCCAGAATATAAAAAATGAATAACCCAATCAACAAATGGCCTAAGGAACTGAACAGACACTTCAGAGAAGAAGAAGTATAATCGATCAACAAATATACAAAGACTTTTCAATTTTTCACACTACAGTATTCTTCCAAGTACCTGCAGTGAGTAAAAGAATGGGTAAAGTTTAATTCTTGTGAGTCAATCCAATTTGATTTGAATCTCAATCCTGCTGTGTATCCACAGAAAAGGTTAAACTCTCTGAGCCTAGTGTTCTAATATGTAAATATGCCTTACAGCTACCTCACTGGGCACTTAAAATAATAACATAAGATAATGTAGTAATTTCTTACTTGACACACCATCACTATTTAACAATCCATCTTTCTCCTTGAGACATCACTTACCTTCTGGGATACTGCCCTCCCTGGTTTACCCTTATTCATCACCAGCCACTCATCCTCAATCCCTGCTGTTGATTCCTTCTTCATGTCCTTGATTTCTTGACCTAGTGCTTAGACTTTTCCCACCTACATTTACTCCTTGGTGACCTTTTTCAGTCTCATGACTTATGTAACATTTATATACCAATGACTCCCCAATTTATATTTCTATTTCTGACCGCTCCATTGAACTCCAGTCTCATCATTTACTTGAGTGTTTAACAGTTTCTCAAATTTAGTAAAATGTCATCTGAGTTTCCCTTGTAACTGATTCCTTCTCCATTTCAATTAATGACAACTACTTCCAAGTTGTTTAGGCCCTAAATCTTGAAGTTGCTCTTGAGTTCACACTCTTTTACCCCATATATTTGCTCTGCTAAAAAATCCTGTTAACTCTACCTAGAGAATATATCCAAGATCTACCATTACTTAAGACCTTCATCCTTCTTTGAACCACCATTATCTCTTGCCTGGATCACTGCAAGAAATCTCTGAACTAATTCCTCTCATTCTTCCTTAGCACCTATAGATTATTTATCACTGAACAAACATAGACATTCTTTTAAAATATAAGTCAGATCATGCACTCCTCTGCCAAAAGAACTTCTAATACCTCCTTCTTTTACTCATAGTCAGAGACCAGAACCTTCCATGGCCTATAAAGTTTTACACAATCTGCTTCCCACTGCTCTCTCTTCCTCATCTCTGAATAACCTCCTTACCTCACTTCTTACTTTTCCTGTCATTCAATCTTCCATGTACACTTCTCTATGTCATCTTTTTTTTTTTTTGCAGTGATACATGCTAGGCAAGCCCCCCTACCAACTGAGCTACTCCTAGGCTCCCACCTGACTTCTTTAAAAATAAATAGGCATGATCCAATCTCTGGGACTTTGAATCTATGATTCCCATAGAACTCTCTTCCTCCAGATATCTGTTCTCCCTTTTATCTCCATCAGATCTTTGTTGCCAACCCTTCAGTAAGGTAAGCTCTGAGGACCTTATTTTAAATGGAATCTTCTGTCTCTTGAATCTCAACTTCTAGCTAAAGGTATAGTTTAAGTTGTTGTTATTATTATTATTATTTTGCTTATTGTCTATCTTCTTGAACCATAATATAAGCTTTTTAGGACAGGAATTTTTGTTGTCTTGTTCATTGACCTATAGCATCTGTCTTTTGAGCTGTAGCATCTGTTTAGAATTAGGTTTAGCATGAATCTGGGTATCTGTACTTCTTATCAGTGCTGTCTTAGTGCACTAATCTCTAGAAGTGATGGATAGAACTTGAGCACCACAGATACTAAGGGATTCCAGTGTATTCCACGCAATATATTTACATTGCTACTTCTATATAAAGAATGTCATTTAAGTCTCAGATAAAATGACATCTTCTCAGAGAAGGTATCTCAGCACTCTTTTTAGCACTGTTCACCTCCCAACTCTTCCTCCTTCTTCTCCATCACTTCCCCAGATGTCACTGCTTCTATATAGCACTTTTCACTACCTGAAATTGACATGTTTATTTGTTGGTTTGGTTGTTTGTTGGCTCTCTCTCCTAAGAGAGAGTAAGTTTCATAACAAAGAATTATCTAGCTCCAAATATCAAAAAGTGGCAAGGCTGAAAAACCCTGATTGGGCAGTTTTCAGACTTAAAAATTCTGTTGAAGTTGGTACAGAGAGCAAGATAGTAGCCTACCTTTGTGGAACTGATAAAATATAACTCCTGATATGTCCCCCAATATAAATGAATTTTTCATGATTCTCTACAATCATGAAAACACATATTTCAGTTTTAGGTTGAAAATTACTCTTGCCTTTTTCTTCACATCAGTTACTTTTCCCATAATTATAGAATGTGAGTAGCGTGGTGTACCTGTTCTTCATGGAGAATAACTTGACCCTTGAGAGGACTTCCCAGTGGTGCCACTGTCACAAATGGGTGCCAAAGTCCACTGGCAGTTCTTGGGAAGATGTCATATAAGTCCACAAAGAAGCCACTTTCCCCAGTCATATTCATAAAGTATAAGGAAACAGGATTGCATGTAGTTATATACAGAGTATTTTCCTCATTTTCTGAAATGGCAAAAAGGTGTTAATTTAGTGGTTTGAAATTGACTTACCAACTGATCAAGAGGCCTAGGCAAAATTAAATTATGAAGTTTGAACATACAGTTGAAACCCAGCAGATGATTTGTAGATGCACTGATTAGACTAAAAAGACCGTGAAAAGCACCTTAGTTCCCTAAATGTAGAGTTACACCTATCTATTTCAGGAGGTATCTATTTGTTCCCAAGAAAAGGCCACAATGTCTCCTGATAACATCATTAATTAGTTAACAATTTTTAATATCAGGAAATTCTCCCTTGTGTTCCAATGAAAGTCTGTTTTCTCTTTTCCATTGTTGTTTCAGAATAACAACAGTTCAATATTTTCTAACTGCTGATCTTTCATTTTCTAGATAGTTACTAGACATTTAGGATCTAATTAATTCCACTTTAAAAAATCTTAGCCTTACAGATCTTCAGTTTCAAACTTTTGTTCCTATTTCAGTACTCCTTATTATAAAATTTCTAACATCTTAAATGGGGTGCTTTCTTAAGTCCATTTTCTGAATTTTATACTGGTGCTTCTTCCAGTTTAAAATGACTATGAATCACCTGGGGAACTAATTAAATTGCAAGTTCTGATTCAGTAAGTCTGTGGTGGGAATACATATTCTGTCCTTTCAATCAGCTCCCAGGTTGCTAGTTTGAGCTCCTTCCTTTGAGTAACCAGGCTCTGGATCAAACTTCTTTTAATGTCTTATGTGAGTGCCTTGAGGCAAGGAATTAAGCTGCTTTGTCTCATAAATGCTGTCTGCATCACCCAGTACCCAGATATCTATTTATAAATAGCTGTATTTTTGAACCTAAAATTCAGACACACAGTATGACAATGATATATATTGAAATTTGGAACTGTCCTAGAAAATCTGGACTACATGTATGAATGCCATATCTACAATGTTAATATGTAATAATTATATTACATATAGATATATTACAAATACTAACTTTAAAACAATAAGTTAACCTCAGTAAAAAAAATAGCCATCAGTGCTATTTGGAAAATACAGTAAGAATGTTTACATAAATTTAGTTAATAAATTTATTAATTGTTCTCTTTTACTTCAGGTATTAAGTATCATCTGGCCTTTGGCTCAGACTCATAGATATAAAATTAACTCCAACTCTAACTCTTTTCTATCTGAAGTGCAGAATAGGTAAAACACACATATACACAAAACACCAAGAAATAAAAAATAACAAAAAATCTAGTTTGCAAATGTGGCCAATACTGAAATAAGAGGGTTAAATTCTATCAGGGACAGCAAATGAGACACATTTATCAGCGTTGCCTCTGACTCACAAGAAGGGGCTGCCTGAATGCTATTGAGAAATAAGAGCCTGTGACCAGGTTTAATGGGAAGAGTGTACAACTGATTTACCACCTGCCATAGGCCTGGGCAGAGGATCATAACACACTTACCTATGATTCCTGAATATGAGACAAGGGTCAGAGTTCAAATTTTTTTAAACAAAATCTTAGACTTTCACTTTACAAACAAATATGAAATAATCTTAGGAGCATAAATCTTTACCCCAAACAAGCAAATAACAACAATAAAAAAATCTGTAAATATTTTAAAGCATACTTTTATTCAAAATAGCTGACTTGGGGTATAAACTATATCCATTAATAAAACTTACAGGAATAAACACAAGATACTCAACATTGCCTCAACAATTCCATCTTAAGTGATGCTGGAGATACTCTCCCTTCCCCCAGCTACCTCTTCTGTTTATATTGCCTTAGTAACTGACATCAGTTGAAGAACTACTGCCAAAAAGTACTCAGGGCCTCCTGCGTCAATCAGTAAGTAATGGCAACAGTCCAGAAATGTAGATGCCAACAGTTCCCATTCTTTATTTGCCATTCTTTACAATGAAAAGTTTAGCAACTGCAAATCACTCTGGCCTTGCTTTTGTGGTTTATGCAATCACCAAACTGGAATCCCAGCCAAAAAATCCAGTGTTTCTCCTTTTTCTTTTTTCCTTCTATTTTTAGCACACGCCTGGGTGTGTTTAACTTCGTGCTACAATTGTAATGAGAAACAGACATATGCATACAAACCCAGCAGTGCTTATGTGGATTCCACAATGGCATTTTGTTAGGTTGTTAGAGGAAATTAGTTCTAAATTATATATAATTGCTATCCAATCCAAGAATGACAGTCACCGAGTTTATCATAGACTCCTTGATAACTAGAGAGTGTTTTAAAGCCTTTTAAAAGATCAATACAGGAATAAAAGATTAAAAAATAAACTTAACATACCACATGATGTAGCAATGTCACAAATTAAATTAATTTCATCCAGTGGTAATCTCCAGGAGACACATTCTTCAGTAAAGTTTAGGGATCTCTTTTCATGTCTTTCTATTGGGTACTTCTGTATGTTCATAAACACTGGACCCTATAATAAAGTAGTTGCTTGAATTAAGAAATTTGGGTAGTCACAAAAACATAGAAAAGCTAAAGTTCTTCCAAAATATAGAATTTATATTTTGAGTATTTAATGTGGATCTACTCCACATTTTATTTTCTGACATAGTACTTATAACAATAATATTTCCATACTTGTATTTATAAATGCTTTCTATATGTGCTATCTTGGTTAATGATTTCTCATTTTCTTTTGTTTTTAATCACAAAATATGCCAGATGTAAAATCCCACAAGATTTCTCACTACTTTATTCCTTGCCAAACCAAGAGCCCACTTCAAACTCCATATATCAGGACCTAGAGTTGTCCAAACCAGAATGACTTATAAATTAATGAGCCATGTTCTAATATGTTTCCTTTGTAAAGAATGATTTTTTACATCATAATAAAGAAACGTAAGGGTTGAATATGAGTCTTTTAAATGAAATGTGAAAAAATATGACATTTGAAATTAATTTTTTAAAACCATACTTACTGACATTCATTAATGTTACTTATGAAAGAGTATTTCACACATGGTGATAATTATTCAATAATAAACATAGGCAGAGAAACTAAATTAATGATGTTATGAATATTAGTACTGGGTACTTGGAGTTCCTGGAAGAACTCCATGGATGTAACTAATATTTCAATGATTTGCATGATTATCTTTAGTCTTTAGTCAAAAATATTTGAGCTAGATATTGGCATCCACATCCCATCTCATTCGATCTAGTCTGTGCATCAGGGACGAGAAGACTAACAAATGCATTTGTCACACTCCCTTGAGAAAGATTTTGGAAGTGATTTTGGTTCTGCCAATTAAATACACTTGCATGAGATCTGGAAGACAGAACAAAGGGAGTGGGCATCTTCCTGCAGCCATAGCAAACAAGGAAAATCTAAAAATATAAGCAGAGATTCTGTCCTTTATTGCCAGTTTGATACATGAGGGACTGCAGGGCAAGTCTGACCCATTACTTGTTTTTATAAATACAGAATTTTAGCAGAACACAACCACATTCATTTGTTTACATATTGCCATGACTGCTTTTGCTTTATGGTGGCAGAGTTGAGTAGTTGCAACAGAATCTGTGCAACCACAAAGCCTACAATATTTACTTTTTGGCCATTCACAGAAAAAGTTTGCTGACTCTGCCTTCCTGTGCAACTCCCAATTACAGGATGACAGCACTTGCAGAATCACTGACCCTGAAACTGACTAGCCTCTGGCTGCAAGTCTTCCTGTCCTTCTAATGATTTTACAAACACCTTTTTCCCCATGATAAAACCCTTTCTGCTTGAAATACCTAGAGTGATTTTAATTGCAACTAATGACTAATCCTCTTTTCCTTTACCTTTTCACATGAAGACATTATGTGTCAACAATATATGGCTAAAAAGAGGCAGGCAATTCATAAAAGCACAAAATTTTAACTCTGTTAGCAAACACAAAGTAAAGGCAAATATAACAGAGCAACAGTCCTAGGAAAAAGTCCTAGGAAAACATACCTGACTATCATAAAACATACATTAGTTCTCAGAAATTTTATCTGTACATTAGGAATTGTCTACATGGAGTTCCTTGTAGACCAGAAAGATTTCAAGTATAGAAGCAAAAAAAAAAAAAAAAAAAAAAGTCAGAACAAGTCATTTCTGCAAGATCTATTGTATGGATTTTCTTCAGGGAAGACATGGAAAATTTTCTAAGAGTCAATATTTTAAGAGAAAATAATAAAGATATCAACCTTTATGTCTATCTGATGAGTTTCTGCTGGACACAGGAGTTTTTGCATTCCATTTCTTGCCTGACCAATTGTCCAGTAACCCATGAATGTCTGCTCTGGTAGAGGCAACCTGTTAAGGATGATTGGAAAAATGAGCATTCTTGTTTCCAAATCATAGAATAACATAATGAGCCCTCTAGTATCAACTACACAAATAAATCTAAAGAATGCTTTGTTTAGGAGAAAATTATGCTTCATTTTATTAAAAAAAAGATGATGATTAGAATACACATTAAGATGAAAAAGATTCCACATTTCAGAAATACAGAAGGTGAAGTCCTATCGCATATTTACCTCAAAGACAAACATAATTAAGATTCACACATTTTTTCCTTGAATTGGTAAAATGTTCAATAATAACTATTAATTTCTAATACAGCAAATAGAGCACAGATAGTCATTTTCAAAAACTTTAGCAATCTATCAAAATTTTCAATTTATTCTTTTAAAGTTTGAACCAAGTAATAATAACTAGTGTGCAGTATTATTAGGCCCATGTTTGTCAGTTATACAGGGCAAGTTTCATAGACTTTCTTTTGGCATTTTAACTTCTTTCAGCTTGCTTGATACATAATAACATACAGAAATGCCTATATAAGCCTGTTACTCATGTAAGTGTAACACTAAACACATCTGAACCAAAGAAGTAGCACATCATCAGCACCCAGAAACCCTCTTGGGACCACATTTTATAGCTATTCCCACCAAGAAAGTTAGGATCCTAACTTCTAAAGGAATAATTCTATGTTTAATTTATTTTAAAGTTTTTTTAAAAAGCAAATATGACAAAGCTAAAGTATAAAATTGTAGACAAATTTGAGAATCAAGGCTACACTTCCAAATTATACTAATTTGACTTTGAACTTTTTAAAAAAAGAAATCATTGATTTGTCATTTAACCCATTAGAAATTTCTTATTTCATGATAAACTGAATTCCAAAAAATAATAACTTATACTTTCAAGTTTTCTAAAAATAATAGGCACATGGCTATAACTTAAAGGTGCTTGCAGTCAGTCTAATCAACATTAAAAAGAGTACAGATTTACATTTAGAAATAATTTTATTTTCAGTAAAGAAATAGTCTGACAAAAATTTCTTTATGTTTAGTAAAATCATATTAGGCTTTGATTTGTTTTTTTTTGCTTAATATAAAAATCTAAATATTCAGACAGAATATGCTTATTGTCCCTTTGAAATGCTAATGTTTGACATAAGAGGAAAGAAAAAGAAATTCCCACTGAAATTCTTCTAAGACAGGTCTCTCCAAAAGGCACATGTGCTTTCATATCTATTATCCAAAATACATTTTAAGTACCTGAACAATTATACTGACTTATGACCCATGTACTTCCATCTTTTCACTGGTAAAAAGTGTGGAGTGTGCTGGGGGCGGAGGGAGGCCAGTGATGAGTTAGGGGATTGACTATAATTGTTTTCTCTTTTGAATATTATGAAAATGCATTTTTGTGTCAATGGCAGATCTTTAATATATCTAAGGCTCAGGGTCTCTCTTTGCTAGTTTAGGGAATGAACTATATTCTTCATTTGCTTTCATAAAGGAAAATAAGGTCTCAAATATATAAGGAGAAAAATAAAGGAAATAAATACATTATTTACTCTTTACCAGAGAAGACACAGAATAAAACAATGCAAAGAGAGCTGGTTTTTAGTTTTGGTTCTTGTATTATCCAGCTATGCAAATTTGGGAAGGGGAATATCAGTTAATGTTTCAGTATTTTTTTTTTCTGGTACTGGGGATTGAACCCAGGGGCACTCAACCACTGAGACATATCCCCAGCCTTATTTTGTATTTTATTTAGAGACAGGGTCTCACTGAGTTGCTGAGTGTGGCTTTGAACTCATGATTCTCCTGCTTTAGCCTCCCAAGCTACTGGGATTACAGGCATGAGCCACTATGCCTGGTTTAACTTCTTCATTTGTAATTTTAAAAATTCCTTATGGTTTATAAAATCTGAAGCAAGAAGAAGGAAATATCAGTGATAGTTTAAAAGGCCAGCATTAACTTGTTGCTCTGCTTGAAAATATGTATACCTCCCAATAGAATAGGTGTCCTGATAGATAGGGTACGCTTTATTAAAGCATATACTAAGAAGCTCTAAATACACCTAAATTGGTTCTTTGAAAACAAGAGAACCATTTCACATCTTAAAATCTAATTACAGATGAAGAATTGTGTAATACAAATGATTCTGGTTGACAACTAGCCTGAAACATGGACCTAGGACTAGGAATGTCATTCACTAGTAGAACACTGGCTAACAATATGCAAGGTCCTGGGTATGATCTCCAGCATATGCATGTGCGTGCACAACACACACACACACACACACACACAC